TATATCACCCCCACAGTCTGGGTCCTCATTTCACCCACCTCGGAAGGATGGAAGGCTGAGTCAACCTTGAGTTGGTGAGATTTGAACCGCCGAAGTGCAGCTAGCAGTCAGCTGAAGTGGTTTGCTGTACTGCACCCTCACCACTGCGCCACCTCGGCTCTCGATTGCGTTGGCTTTTTTGGGGGGCCAGTTGTGTCATTTCAGAACTGTCGGAATCCGATATCATCCTTCTTTTTTCCTCTTCCCCCTCGCAGAGACCCAGACATGGCCGCAGACCCAGAGCGGGAAAACGGTTCCGAAACCGACCATGGCAGCGACCTCCCCGTGGGAGTGGAAAACCCAAGCTCGGGGGCGGCCCTTCGCGCTGTGACCCCGGCGGTGGACGCCAAGTGGAAGGCCGCCTTCCACGAGGGCGTCCAGCCGCGAGCGCTTCACCTCCAGGGCATCAAGATGGAGAAGCTGCGGAGGAAGTCGCTTCAGCAGAAGAAGATGGAGAAGGAGGAGCCGCCGGACAGCCTGTCCCAGGACTGGCTCAACACCGAGTCCATGACGCTGGAGACCCGGGCCTACCTCCTGGACAAGCTGCTGCCCACCTTGGTGCCCGCCGTGGAGGCGCTGCTGAAGGTGGCGGAGCGGAAGCAGGCGCTGGAGCCCCAGGAGTCCCAGCCCTGCCCGTTTGACCCGATGATCTTCCTGGGCGAGTACCTGATGAGGCATAACCCTGCCTACGACCTGACCGCCCAGCCCAACCCCTACGTCCGAGGGCTGAAGGCCATCACGGACCAGCTGATGGCGCGCGTGCCCGACACGACCATGCACAAGTGAGTAGGGCCAGGTGGGGGGGAGGGTTCAGGCGGGAAAGCGGGGTTGCTCATCAGGAGGGACTATTGGGTAGCCCGGGGTTGAAGGGCGGAGGCCCTTGGTGCTCTCTTGGTGCTTGGTGGATTCCTTGCAGACGTTTCATGAACCAACGAGGCAACATCAGCAGTTGGGAGGGAGGCATGCAAAAGGAGGAGGAGGAGGAGGAGGAGGAGGAGGAGNATACACACATACATTCATTCATTCATTCATTCATTTAAATACAACTTCCCAACATAATACTTGTGTACTCATTATTCACAAGTCTACACAAAATTAACATATTTAGCAATATCAATAACACTTAGACTTACATACTGCTTCGTAGTGCTTTACACCCTCTCTAAGCAATTTAGGTAGTCAGCATATTGTCCCCAAATATCTGGGTCCTCATTACCAACCTTGGAAGGATAGAAGGCTGAGTCAACCTTCAGATAGTGAGAATTGACCTGATGGCAGTCAGCAGAATTAGCCTGCAATACTGCATTCTAAACACTGCCCCACCATGGCTCTCTGATTAAATCTAATCATAGAATTATTTGGTCAAATAACTGATTTATTTGAAAAAACTGAAGAGATAAAGTTTCTTTTCTACTCTTTTTTATTTTTCACCATTTTTCTAATTTCTTTGTATTTTTAAGCTGTCTGCAAGATTCCATCTATTTATTATAGTTGAGATCACTGAAATAAACTAGGGCTAGAATTCTAATTTAACAAGTACATGTGTCATTAAAAATTACTTGTAAATATAATGCTATTCACAAAAATGTTTCAAAAATCATGTTATGAACGGTTGGCTGAAAAAAACCAAATACATTTTCAAAGGCTTACCCGGCCCTAATTGCTTTATGTGAAATATTAATGTAGTTTATTTTTTTAGTGCTTTGTTGTTTTTCTTTGTGACTTCAACATTAGGGGAGCCCCCCCATCTTAGCTAGAAATGACCTAAATTGTAGCCAAATGTTCAGGAGATCATTAGGTTTGAAAAGCTGTGATCTCTATTTTACAAGTCTAACACAATATTTGATAATGTATTCACAAATGTTTGATGTAATGATTACTATTACACCAATTATAATACTTACATTTCACCATCTTATTTATTTATATCCTGACTTTATTTTATATTTTTGTAAAGGTACAGAACAATCCAACACATCTTCTTTCTCCTATTTTCCCCACAACAACCACTATGTGAGGTGATAAGTAGATAGATTAGATAGATAGATAGATAGATAGATAGATAGATAGATAGATAGATAGATGATAGATAGATAGATAGATAGATAGATAGATAGATAGATANATTCACTATCCTATTTTCTATTCTATTCTATTGTATTTTATTCTATTCTATATTTCTATTCTATTCTATTTTCTATTCCTATTCCATTCTATTCACTATCCTATTTTCTATTCTATTCTATTGTATTTTATTCTATTCTATATTTCTATTCTATTCTATTTTCTATTCCTATTCCATTCTATTCACTATCCTATTTTCTATTCTATTCTATTGTATTTTATTCTATTCTATATTTCTATTCTATTCTATTTTCTATTCCTATTCCATTCTATTCTCTATCCTATTTTGTATTCTATTCTATTCTACATTCTATTCTACTCTATTCCATTCTATTCTATTCCATTCCATTATTCTATTCCATTCTATTCTATTCCATTCCATTCTATTCTAATTTCTTTTCTATTTTCTATTTTCTATTCTTATTCCTATTCCATTTTATAGTCTACTCTACTCTACTCTACTCTACTCTATTCTATTCCGTTCCATTATTCTATTCTATTCTATTCTATTCTATTCTATTCTATTCTATTCTATTCATACATAAAAAATAATACAAGTGAGATACAAATCAATAGACCAAAATACCTTCGACGACCAGGTGGAAATCCTTACGGCTCATGCCTAGCGGCGAGTGAGCCACACAGGTGTATATCCCTCCGTCTGAGGGTTGGAGTTGCTTAATGGTCAGCTGAAACAGCTCGCTGCTTTGGACAAGCCAGTAGCGGGAGTCCCCCAGGCTCAGGGTCTCGTTGTCCTTCAGCCAGGTAAGTTGAGCAGGAGGGTTGGCTTTGACACGGCAATTGAAGGTCGCATCCCAATCGGTGGGGATGCTGGGAAGGTCTTCCCCAGTTAGGACGGGGGCGTCTGTGGAACGCCAGAAGAAGGGTCAGCAGAGAAAACTGACGTTTGGGCAAATTTTAATATGAATTAACACACTCTGATGCTAAGGTGTTCTACTCCCCCTCCTCACCGGAAAAGAACTCTGTTCCAACTGCCACTTGCCTCACATTCCGGTTCCTTAGTTCAAACTGGCAGACATTCCACTCCATAACTTAGGAGAGGTTTGGGCCTAAACTAAATGGCGGTACCTCACCAAAATATCTACGCCTTCCACCTACAGAACTCCTTCCAGACTCAAGGTGGCGGGAGCAATATTCCCCTAGGTGTTTCAATCACCGACCACCACTGAGCCAACGGATTGAACCGGAATGAACCCGATTTCTCCTGCATTGGCCGATCACATAGTTTTGTTGAGAAGCACAGGTATCCAGCTAGCACTGTATAAATAATTACAAAGACTAACTGGGTGTTTTTCAATCGTGGACTTTTTAAGCGGGATGGACTTTGGCTCCCAGAAATCCACCTCCCCCCTAAAATGCCCAAGGCTGAGAAACACCTCTCTAATCATAATTTAAATATCAATTGTTGTGGCCCAACAGGAACCGTTGTAGCTGCCACCAGACTCCGACAGCGAAGGGCCCTATGAATCGGTTCTGGAGGATGTGGAGGACCCTGGACAGGGTTCCGACTCCGAGCAGGGCACAGAGAGACTGGTTCGCCACCAGGTGGCACCTGAGCCTTGGACCAGTGGGGAGGAGACAAGGGAGTGTGATCCAGAAGCCAGCAATGAGTTGTTCCTGGATGCACGCCATCAAAGAGCTACTCGACGTCAGGAACAGTTGCACAAGTACAGGAGGTAATTGCACTCAGCTGGTGGTCATTAGGCT